CTATTGGTAAGTATGGTAATTCCCGTAGTAGCAACAGAGTAGGATCGAGTAGTAGGAATCATGGAATTATAAAAACACTACAGAAATGAAACCGATTTCGATTATTCAGCATTTGCTGATTTTATGACTTTTGTGTCAGTCAGTACTGTGTCGAAAGATTGACTAAACATGCATGTTATCAACAGATAGGCAAATTAAATATGATGAAGTGGTAGTTTACATGCTGGAATATTCCAATCCAATTACTTGGACTAAGTATAGGGACAGGCAAGTCCGGAAGCAACATTTTGTTTTTAGAGAGTTCAGAAGTACTCCTACCGACAAAATGATTAAAACTACTGTTCACACAATCAATAAACAAATGAGTTTGAATTAAAACAAACTTGCTAGAAGTCAATTATTGATATTATCACGTTTGTGACTGGAGTCAAATACCACAATTAGGTCGAAGGAAATAGCAAGACGCAAACTGGGCTGTTTATAATGAGACCAGAGATAATTTGGTCAGCAAGTTCACGATGTCTACTACATTCTTTTTGTCAGAGTTATGTTAACCGCTTTTCTAAATGAGATAACTGTTGGAATGCAAATGTTAAAAACTAACAGTGTTCAGATTAACCACACAAAGAAATGTAGTATCGAGATAATACACAGAAAGCTAGCTACCTGTGAGATCTGCAACACGATGAATCGGGGGATCTTGTTTGCTATACATTCCGAGTCCTTTAGCCTGGGCATTTTCCTCTGCAGCAAGAAGTTCACTGTAAAATACAGTACGAGAATCATTGGTGTTTCGATAACGAATTACGGAGGCTAGACCCCTTGAAACTAAGGCCAATGCAAGGTTGACATCATCAGCTCGCACAGTGGCACACACACGCTCATCAACAGTATTAGCTGTTTTCGGTTGAATGTAGTCGACTTGAACAGTTACCTGTATAGCAAAAATACGACAGTTACATATAGATAAACCATGTTTCCGATAACTTAAATATATCATTTCACAAAATATTTTATGAGGTATGGATAATTAATTAATTAATTAATTTGCTGAAGCTTTGCTTACCTGTTTACCAACAAACTGACGTAGTACCTCCCTAGCTTCAAACACATAGGGTATGTCATAAAGTGGACGAATACGACCACGTTGGGCAGTTGAATCCTCCTCCTTACCAGTGTTTTGTGGTCGAGGAGCTCTTATGCTAGATAGAAAGAATTTATGAATACCATCAGAACACTTGACAGAGATATTATCACCATTTCCAACTTCATATATCTGAAAAGAAAAACGATGCCGATGAAATAAAGTTTTTTTGAAGCTAAGAATAGTGAGCTATAATTACTGAAATTAAGAGTCATTAAAGTGAGACGCTTTTGAATGGCATACTCATAAAACTATCGTTCAACAAAACAGAACAGTTTTGTGGTTCTCTAATATGACTTTAATCCAAGGCGTTTGATGATTTAGTTATGCTCAACCTAATTTGGGTTCAGATAATAAAACAGCAAGTAAATAAACCATGTATTATTCAAGAGTACCAACAGTACCAAATTTAGTGTCTCAGAATAGTTCTAAAAACTTAAGTACTGATACTTACTGCAAGTTGTCTATACTACTCAGATGTTTTACTCAGGAGTGGTAACTAGACAGTATTACAAGTAAAAAGAACTCACAATTCCACTGAAAATTTTCCCTGGGACAATTGTTGAATGACTTCCTGCATGTACTTCCTTTGTTTCTGTAGGCTGATAATTTTCAAACAGGCGCAGTCGCTTTTCTTTTGCAAATCTTTCAGCTGCTTTGTAGGCTTCAGCAGCACCTGGAACGCTTACCAAATTAAGATTCCAATCAATACAGTGAGCCAAGCCATTACGAAGTAGCAACTCGGCTATATTTCCATTAGGATGAAGGATACTTCCGATGAAGTTTTGATTGAATACGGATTCCAACAGCACAGTCACATCTCTCTGAAGCAGTCTTGATTCGGTGAAGAACAGAGCATCGAGACCCCAGGAATCGGAAACCTATCGAAGAATGAAATAGATTTACGTCAACTTACAATTTTCCCGTCCTCGTAACGTATCGATGGTGATTTGATTCCCGACATTGTAACAGTAAGGTATACGAATGTATTTGGCTTCTCGCTGAGGGATTCAGGCAGAATGAAAACTTGTACAGAACAACCATCTCGAACATTCTCGACAACAGCTTTGAGTGGCTGGTTTTTGTATTGCTCAAAGAAGCCACGAGCATTCTCTACTGACCAAATAATTTCTCTCGTGACAAAGGAGTCGGAAGACCAACGACCTTTTCCAAGTAATTTGGCTTGTTCTTGAGCAGCTACAAGCTGCTGATAAACTTTACTTTTGGCAGCTACTGCCGGACTTAACTTTCTCACTTCAGCTAAACCCTGTTCCACTAAGGACAAGGCGACATTTTCGCCATTAGTATTTTTTCCTGATAAAAATATAAATAAAATAACTTAAAACATACCAATATATACACTTCCATACTTTCGACCGGATGGCTGTTCTGATTCAACAGAATAGCATACTTCTTTGCCAACTAAAAGAGTACGGACGAACTCTCTGGCCTCCCAGGCAAATGGGTCTTCTGGTGTCCCAGTAGGAATTCCTGTCGTAGGTTTACGGGCAACACGACCACATGAAATATTGGATAATACGATGGTTCGTTCTGGAGGAGGACCATCTATGGGTCTGTCGCGTATTAAAATTGTATCCCCTGACAGGACCTGTAAAATCAAAACAGCTGTTGATGATGAGAAAACCAGACAATGCGTTTTGAAAGTTAAAAACTATAACCACGTAAAATATATAATATGACGGCAAACAGAACGGTATGTTCCACATACTTGTTTCACAATTCCCAAGAAAAATGAAGGTGTGCTGACTAGTCTTGCTTCCTGACTATTTGGCACGGGAGATGACATGGTTGTGACGGATCTCCCTTCAATACTAGCAATAAACACGTGGCAAAATCCAAACTGAATACGACACGACCATGTGTGGTGGTTTAAACAAATTTTCGCGCCACGTACAAATTGCCCTAATGTTTAGAGTTGAATTCGAAGAAGATTTGACTTAAATGGCTTCTTAGTCCTATCTCAGTGGGTCACCGGTGCCTCGATATAGCAAACTAGGTGTTTTTAATAGTCAGGGGAGAAGTACCAACCATTTATGCAGAAGCACAGCCCATTATCCTTAAGAATAGATCAAATTTTCATTTGAACTACTCCTGTTAGATCACTGGAAACACCTTAGCCAATAACGAATCATAGGACTTGACAACCCTAATGGGTAAAAATTGAACATACAGCTTCCTACATTTACTCTGATTTCTGGAAATTATCCCTGTGATTTGTGTTGACACTGAGCCTATGTTGGTGTTTTGGGGAATTTCGTTAAGTATTTAGGATCCTGCACTGCTTTGAAGCCTGCCTCTAATCAGTAAAGTACTAGCAATTTAACTCGATCGTCATCGGGTTTGAGTTTAAGTACCTGACGTGAGTCCGTAGCTCGTCACTGGATACATTTCAGAATATACTCTTCCTTATAGAGTGAAGCACAAAAACACTATTTCCGAGCTCAAAATAAGGCCGACTAATAGCGTTAAAAGTAGGTGGAAAGTTGTGATATTCCAGCTGCTAAATATGATTCAGGGACGCCGAATCAAGGTATTATCTGGTGTTTTGTCAAAATTAGCTTAAGGACGTTCGTTGTCGATTCCTGGAACTTTTCCAACCTGAAACACATAATATGAACCGTCTTAGAAAAATACTATGAGACGTTGAATAATGTGCGATGGTGTAATCTCAAATCTGTTTACTTCTATTCTTCACATTTCAGTGGGAGTTAATTTCTTCACCGAAATCTAGGTCAAACGTGTACAATATAATGGAACCAGAATTATAGCAGTGGTCATAATTCAGATATCGATTATTTCAAATGAATGTCAAAAACTCCTACTATGTGAATTGGTTTTGAGACTTAAATTCCGGAACTATTTAACTGGACAAGGAACAGTTATGTCTAGCGTCGCCTCTGTTAATATGTATCAGCTCTATCGCACCCTCGATCCTAATGCTTATTCTTGGAAATTGTAATCATTTTGATCTTGACGGTGCGAAGTATAAAACTTGGATTAGCATAAACAGGTGATTACTGACTCCTTAAAAGTAGCCCGAAACCATACCATAATCATGACCCGTATATACATAAATGCTGATAATACGCATGTTTATCCTTTGATTGTAAATGGCATATAAATGGACAGACACAATATTTTGTTCCATTTACACCAAATAGTGGTTTTTTGTACATTATTTTGCTCCCGACTTTATCTTAAATGCAATGCGTTCGTTTGTGCTCACACGGTTCTTCGTGAATTCAGTTCTAGTTCCTATGTTCTTATCAAAGTACCAATTGCACATTTAGATAAATTACTAATAAGTATTATCACGATGGCGTCAAAACTTTTAATGTTTGATATTAATTCAGGTAGGGATGCTTCCGAAGATAACAAAGAGAGATTTAAATATAGAACACGATCGTGAAAGCTGTTGGAGATGACAAAACTGCTGCTCATTTCCTCACGTTTGTCGGAAAGGACACTAAAATCTGTAGTGTTTCAAGATAAACCTATTTTTCATTTATATGCAGCTACTAAAGCATTACTATTCAGTCACGTAAAATACACATGCTGTGAAAGAGTTAATTATTCCTCAGAACAACCGTGGCGTTAAAGAGTTTATTCTTGAATTACAGAAATCAGCTGCTAAATGTAATATTTGCAATGAAATGCATGTTTAGCTGCGTGATCTATTAATTTCAGGAATCAACAAGTCAAATGCCGAAATATTCCTTTCCAGATGATAGAAATGAATGAATTAATTATGAGGCAATGAATGAGACCGACCTCCAGGATATAAAGAATTCCACTACACTACTTAGTTGTCATAATCCGGTTAGCACTCAAAGTAATACATAAACAAGCTCTTAATTGACATCAATCGTCGGTTTCGTGAGAACACGGGAAGTAGTTCATCGAAGAATTGCAAAGCGACGAACAAAATTGAGCACGGGTTCGGCAAATGTTTATTGTGTCTAATTTCACTATCGTGATTCTCGTACATTTCTTTATACCAAGTGCTTTGAGTGCGGTAAAATTAGTCGAATAAAGCGTTTGTGATTCTACTGTTCGCCTTGCAACTGGTGATAGTAACGTTCTTGATTCCAGTGTTTCTAATGATGTATCCTTTTGATCTACAACCACAAAAAGTTATCCCGGCATTCAAAAACGATTACATACCCCTATTGGTTTATCCCATAATTTTACTGGTGATACAGTATGTGTATTTCATTTAACACATAGTTTTTAGATTCTAGCTTTAACTTATGACCTACCGAAGTTTCAGTATTGAGGACTACTGGACATTAAGTCCCTGTATGAGAATGTTTTGAATTGCTAATTACAGATGCCAGTTTTTCAGATATACCCTACGGGTTTTTAGTAAGCGAAAACGTCTACGCTGGGTCTAAAAAACATCAGGATGCTTAAAATGAAGTGGTCTTAATTAGCTGCCGATGCATTGTTACGGGAGAAACGAAGACATTTTGCTGATCAAACCTTCATATATATATAATCATTAATTTCACTGTTTTTTGGGTATATTTGTTTTACTTAACTTATGAACTTGTTTGAATTATTATTTGCGGACATATTGGACTCCCGTTTCTCTTTGTTGTTCGTTGCAGTTTTTTGCTCCAAGAGATAATAAATTAGAAGAACGACATTGGTCGTCTATTTGTAATAAAATATTTTGGTCGAATTTGTGATTTGGAATAAACTTTGGTATCTACTTTGGAGTTTCGTTCTTGGTATAGAAATTTGGGACCGTGAATTACAATAGACGGCAACAGTGCTTCGTAAGATCAACGAGCAAAAAACTGGACGTAACAGCATTGCATAAAGATTTGATAGCTGTGTGCGGTAAGTTGATAGAGATATTAAAATCCAACCTACAGAACGTTAGATACGGGGTGATCCAGTCTTTCCTAGAAAAGATTAAATTTACATGCTCTTTGAGAAAAGAATCATTGAACTGATTCAGTTTCCAGCTTCGTGTATTCCTATTGTTACCTCCTGGAAGAGAGCAAAACCCTTAGAATTTATCGAAAATTACAGACAAACATTAAACTCTTGTTTTCTTAGGCCAACATAAATCACGAAGGAAGCTGAAAACATACGTGATCGACTGCGTGGTTCTGAAGTATTCTCGAAAGTCGATTTAAACTAGTTTATTACCCCATTCAGTTGGGCCATTCTCTGTTATTTTCACAAAGTCCAATACCCTCGTCGGTTTATTCGATTATATGTACCTTCCTTTGGTTTAAGTCGTATTCTAACAATATTTCAAGCAGCAGTGAATGATGTTATCAGTCATCTTCGAGGTGTTGAAGTTATCTTATTATTCACGGTCGTGATAAGTCAGCTCACGATCAGCGACTTATTGGTTTATCGCGTCGAACAGTTGTGTAAAATATTCCTATAGCTCTAAATATGCATTTACTTTTGACTCCAATTTTGAAAATCTTGGATACCTAGCTCATGGTTTTAGACCTAATATGAAGCGACTGACTTCATTGACAAGTGCTCCATCTTCCAAAGATCTTGAATATGTACGTTCGTTAGGGACTTTTTGTTGATATTGTTCCTGTTTTGTTCTCAGTCTTTATCCGCGTACTAACATTCTACTTAAAATTTCGACATCTATTTCATTTAAATAGGAGTTTGGTACATAAGTCATCCTCACGAAACTCACCAACGTTTTTCAAAAGAGCTGCTATTCTTAGAGTTTAGTCTTCCAATGCATATTCTGCACCTATTATCTGGACAGTTATCATCAGATGAACCAGTGGGAACTTCAGACCGTTTATTAGTCTAACTTCTTCCGATTAATAATTCAGATCTCACTAGAGAAACTCGGTCATACTTCAGAAGCACACTCAGCGCCAAGTGAACAGCCTTTAATGCCAAGGTAAAACGAAGATTTCCTATATATTTTATCAAGGAAGATGAGTTATGTTCTACTAAAGATGATATTAAGTGTTTAAATGATTATGTTATTTCACGCTCGTTGCGGTACTAATTCTAATAATGATTTATTTTCAAATAACAATGTGTTACATGAGACATGCCAATCCATGAGAAAGATCAAAATTTTAAAAATGCTAACATATTTCCTGTAAAAGGTTCTTGAGTTAGATTAATATTTAGCAAGATAAACTGTCTTTTCATAGAGGGCTAGTATTTTTCACATAGAATTGTAAATGTTTCAGACTCTGGAATGTATTTCATTACATTACACGTCTAATTATAAAATTATTTGAAGAGTGAAAAATATTGTAATTCATCTGAAATATCCGACGCTAATGTTCTAGGTCACTCATGGTCCTATGAAATAACGACTTGGATGCTCAACCTGGTTACAACTTTCCATTTAGCATCCTGGTCAAATTCAGTTTATTTATATTCTTGTTATCAAAGTGCAGTGGAAATGGTAGACATATTAATTCATGTATAAATTCACCCGGTTATTTGAGCATCCTTGAGTCAGCTAACTAGCTGCATGCCAACAAACACTACTCCTGTGAGATTTACTACTGATTTAACCATTTATTCAATTTCACTTCATGAAAAAAATTGTAATTCCCGAAAATTTTCTGTTCTCATGAATTGTTGACGAACAGTGTGATGCTGTGAGAGTAAATTTCTTACTTACGCCTGCTACTTCTCATGACGCACAGGCCACTGACCATCATTCTCCAACCTGCTCTGTCCAGAGACTGCCTTTTCACTTCTGTCCAGTCACTGTTTTTCTTTTTCATATCTGTTTCCGATTCTCAGAGTAATGTGTATTCCTTGATCTAT